TGTATTCCACAGATGCAGGGTATATCAAGTTGATTGTGGAGCTTTAATCCGCTGCTTCTGAGGCTGCTGGGAGAGATTTCCCTTTCTCTTCTTTGTTCTCACAGCTCACAGGGGCTCAGCTTTGGATTTGGCCTTGCCTCTGCGTGTAGGTCGCTGGAGGGCGTCTGTTTTTTGCTGAGACAGGACGGGGTTAAAGGAGCCACTGATTCTGGGGCTCTGGTGCACTCAGGCGGGGTGGGGGGGAAGGAGGGGCACTGCGTGCGGGGCGGGCCTGCGGCGGCAGAGGCCAGCATGACGTTGCACCAGCCTGAGGCCCGCCGTGCGTTCTCCCGGGAAAGTTGTCCCTGGATCCCGGGAACCTGGCAGTGGCGGGCTGCACAGGCTCCCCAGAAGCGGGTGTGGATAGTGACCTGTGCTCACACTCAGGCTTCTTGGTGGCAGCAGCAGCAGCCTTAGCGTCTCATGCTCATCTCTGGGGTTTGAGCTTTTAGCCACGGCTCGCGCCCGTCTCTGGAGCTCCTTTAAGCAGTGCTCTTAATCCCCTCTCCTCACGCACCAGGAAACAAAGAGGGAAGAAAAAGTCGCTTGCCTCTTCAGCAGCTCTAGACTTTTCCCTGGACTCCCTCCCGGCTAGCCATGGCGCACTAACCCCCTGCAGGCTGTGTTCACGCTGCCAACCCCAGTCCTCTCCCGGCGCTCCGACCGAAGCCCAAGCCTCAACTCCCAGCCCTGCCCGCCCCGGCGGGTGAGCAGACAAGCCTCTCCGACTGGTGAGTGCCGGTCGGCCTTGATCCTCTGTGTGGGAATCTCTCTGCTTTGCCCTCCGCAACCCTGTTGCTGTGCTCTCCCCCGCAACTCCGAAGCTTTCCCCTCCGCCACCCACAGTCGCCACCCGCGAAGGGGTTTCCTAGTGTGTGGAAACCTTTCCTCCTTCACAGCTCCCTCCCACTGGTGCAGGTCCCGTCCCTATCCTTTTGTCTGTGTTTATTCTTTTTTCTTTTGCCGTACCCAGGTACGTGGGGGGGTTTCTTGCCTTTTGGGAGGTCTGAAGTCTTCTGCCAGCGTTCAGGAGGTGTTGTGTAGGAGTTGTTCCATGTGTAGATGTATTTCTGGTGTATCTGTGGGGAGGAAGGTGATCTCCGCATCTTACTCTTCCGCCGTCTTCCTGGAAGCCCCCACATTAAATGTTTTGACATCATATTTTACATCTTTTTGTTTTGTGTATCCCTTACCTACTTATTGTGGATATAAATAAATTTATTACTTTTGTCTTTTAACCTTCCTACTAGCTTCATAAGTGGTTGATCTATTACCTTTACTGTATATTTGCCTTTACAATGAGATTTTTTCCTTTTGTAATTTTTATGTTTCTAGTTGTGGTATTTTCTTTTCTATTGATACTTCGAGATGTCCCTTTAACACTTCTTGTAAAGCAGTTTTAGAGGTGCTGAACTGTTTTAGCTTTCACTTATCTGCAAAACTCTTGATCTGTCATTCAAATCTTAATTATAGCCTTGCCAGGTAGAGTGTTCTTGGTTGTAGGTTTTTTCTTTCATCACTTTAAATATATTGTGCCACTCCCTTGTGGTTTGCATAGTTTCTGCTGAAAAGTCAGCTGAGAGTCTATGGGAGTTCCTTTGTATGTAACTAACTGGTTTTTCCTTGCTTCTTTTAATATTCTCTCTTTATCTTTAATTTTTGCAATTTCAATTACAATGTGTCTTTGTGTGGATCTCTTTGGGTTCATCTAGTTTTAGACTCTCTGTGCTTCCAAGATCTGTTTGTCTGTTTCCTTTCCTAGGTTAGGGAAGTTTTCAGCTATTATTTATTCAAATAAGTTATCTGTCCCTTTCTCCCGCTCTTTTCCTTTGGAACTTCTATGATACAAATATTAGTATGTGTGATGTTATCACAGAGATCCCTAAAACTAGCCTCATTTTTTAAAAATTCTTTTTTCTTCTTTCTTTTCAGCTTGTGTGATTTCCACCACTGTCTTCCAATTTGCTGATCTGTTCCTCTGGAAGATCATATCTACTGTTGATTCCTTTTAGTGTATTTTTTATTTCAGTTATTTTATTCTTCTCTTTGGTTCTTCTTTACATTTTCTAATTCTTTGTTAAAATTCTTGCTGTGTTCATTCATTCTTCCTGTGAGTTCATTGAGCATCTTTATGATCATTACCTTGAACTCTTTATCAAGTAGACTGCTTATGTCTCTTCACTTAGTTCTTCTTCTGGGGTTTTATCTTGTTCCTTCATTTGGAACATATTTTTCTGTCATTTATTTTGCTTAATTCTGTGTCTTTATTTCTATATATTAGGTAGGTAAGTTACATTTTTGATATTGGAGGAGTGATCTTATGTAGGAGATGTCTTATGGGGCCCAGCAGCACACTTCCTTCTGGTCACCAGAGCTATGTGCTCTATGGGTGCCCCCTATGTGGGCTGCATGTGTCTTTCTGTTGTGGTGGGGCTTACTACTGGCCACACTGGTAAGAAGGGCTGGACTCCAGGCCAGTTGGTTGCCAGGCTCTGCCTCATGCTTTTGGGCAGGGCTGGGTCCCCAGTGGCTACTTGTGGAGCCTATGGTGTCCAGAGGCTGGTGCCGGCCTGCTGGTGGATAGAGGCCGGTCACAGGTGGCTGGCTGCAGGGCCTCTGTGCCTGGGCCTGGTGTTGACTGTCTGGTGAATGGGTAAGTCCCCTGGCACTAATAGGTTAGACGGAGGAATCTAAAATGGCAGCAACTAGTACCAGTGTCCTTGTGGTAGAATGAACTTCCTAAAATCACTGCTGCTGGGATGCAAATACTATTAATATACTAAAACACATTGAATTGTCCACTTTAAAGGGTAAATTTTGTAGAATGTGAATTATATCTCAATAATAAAATTAATGAATAAGTAAAATATATGATATATTAGAATATGATGAGTATAGATCTGAAAGTCATCGCTAACATGATTCAGCCAATAACTACTGAGGATCCTTGATTTCTTCCTTAGCAAAATAAGGGTTTAGTCTAAATGATCTATAGGGTGACTTCCAAATCTAGTTTCCAGTGATTCCCTCAGTCTTCCCACATGATTAGAAATTTCAAAGTAACCGCTGGAAAGGTCACCTCTAGAATAAAATCCAGTCCTTATACCTTTGGTATCTCATTGAAGGAATCTCTATTTTTGAGTATTCGTTATTTTATCTATTTCCCTATTAATAGAGAACAACTTTGACTTGGTGGAATTTCTGTAAGATTGTAAATTCCCATGAAGATTTCTGATTGTGTGCTCATGGAGAGAAATACTGAAGTTAAAGTAATTTATAAAACTGAGTATAACCAGAAATGAGGGAACAGTTCTTACAAGGGTTTAATGAAGAAAGAAACATGGGTAGCTTTTGGATTTTTGAGCCAGGTTGTGAACATATAAAATAGTCATTGTTGACATGAAAATAGATGGTTAAAAGTAGTGACTACATAAGTTCTGAGTCCAAAGATTTTGTATAAACCTCATGGCACAGTGGTTAAGAGCTTGGGCTCTGTGATCACCTTGTCTGGGTTAGGATGATGGATCCATCACTTACCAAGTCACCTGTGCCTGTTTCCTTATCTGTCACATGGGTATAGTAGTTGTACCTTCCAGTAAGATGGTTGTGAGGGTTAAATAAGATAATGCTTAAAAAGCACTGAGAAAAGTATCTGAGCCATGGCAAGGACTCAGCAAACATTAGCATTATCTATTGTCAACAAATACTCAAACTCTTGATGAATGTTTTAAACACTACTGGCATTATTGACAAGTACAGTGTTTACAGTGTATTGTGCTCTAAACCAACTTTCCCAGTAGTTATTTCTTGTTAGACAATGATATTTTTTTATATTGTAAATAACATTTTTTACAGAGTAAAAGCAAGAAAACGTCACTAACAAAATGAAGATCGTGTTAATTGCATTTGTTCTCATCCTTTGGACTGAAACACTGACATATCAGAGCCCAGGTACCAGTACATTTTATGCTTATTATTATTAGGAAAATAAATATTTTATGTCTCAACAAATCTTTATTTTAATAAATAGAAACAAGGAATTTCTTTACTAAAAAAATCAAAGCAGACAGCATTTATTTGTAGTTGGCAATATATTCTATCAAGCAAATTTAAGCTCTCGAAGATGATGGAAAGCCATGGGCAAAATGCATGAATTATGCTACACCTGGCTAGAAAAACTTTAATTATTCATTGATTTGCTGAAGTCCTGATGTTCCATGTCTGTATGAATAGAGTCAACCCATATGTTTTGTGGGTCAGTTTGCACCTTGGCTTTAATAAATGAAAGAAAATGATAAAAGGAACACCACAGAGGAAATTTTATATATATATATATAATAAGTAATATAAAAGCTTTCATATTCCATATATGCATATATGGAATATGAAACCTAGGTTTTTCTGTAATTACTGAAAACATCATTCAAAGAAGTATTTTTAACCCTGCACTGTACTACCCTAGGACTTCCTAGTGAATTTCAGGGTCATTTTGAAAGAAATGTCCTGCTTAGTTAAACATTTACCAGTAGATCACTAACTGGGTGGATGGAGGTGGCTGACCATGACTGCTAAAGTCAATGCTCCTGGTGCCTCCCCTTGTCCAGACTCTCTTTATGAGGCAGGTACACACTCCTCCACTCCCAGCTGCTGTGAATATTGCCTGCAATGGTAATAGCTCATGGCTGTACCCCACTTTCTCAGGACATTTTCCCTTGGCTTTCCCAGAGCCACCTTACCCGTAACCCTCCACTCCTTCTCTCCAGTTCTTGGGAGAAGTCTGCAGCTGATGACTGACTGATAGGCGGGTACACAAACTGTCCCTCTTGACCCAAAGGGTTTGTTGTCATTTTATTTTGATAGGGCCAGGCCCTGAGTATGCTGACGTGGTATTTCTGGTGGATAGCTCCAACTACCTGGGAATTAAATCCTTCCCATTTGTGAAGACGTTCATCAACAAGATGATCAGCAGCCTCCCCATAGAGGCCCACAAGTACCGTGTGGGCCTGGCCCAGTACAGCAACGTGCTCCACAGAGAATTCCAGCTCAGCACCTTCAAGAGCAGAGGCCCCATGTTGAACCACCTCAAGAAGAACTTCAGGTTCCTGGGCGGTTCCCTGCGGATTGGGAATGCTCTCCGGGAGGTGCACACGACCTACTTCTCAAACGGGAGGGACAGGAGACAGTTTCCTCCGATCCTGGTGGTCTTGGCTTCAGCCGAGTCCGAGGATGCCGTGGAAGAGGCCTCCAAGGCGCTGCGCAGTGACGGGGTGAGGATCATCTCAGTGGGGCTGCAGGGGACACCTGAGGAAACTCTGAAGGCCATGGCCACAGGCCAGTTCCACTACAGCTTCCAGACGGTCCAAGATCTCAGCATGTTCTCCCAAAACATGACGCAGATTCTCAAGGATGCAGCTCAGTACAAGGAGGTAGCAGCCCACTCTCATACAGTAGGTAAGGAATCCCTTAGTTGAAGAGGTGTCCCATCCCCATGTAATCTGGTCCAGAGAGCCATCTCCTATTATCTCTATGGTGCCACTCACCAGAAATCTCAGTATTTCATGTGGAAATGCAGAAGACCTCCTTCTCGTCAACTTTCAGTCTTGATCCCCTAGGTGAAAAGAGGGCTACTTTTACCCCCATGACTTACAGCTTCTCATTTGAAAAATGCTTTATTTATGTCTTAAGCAGGTTCTCCATGAAGACCTGAAACAGAAGACCCTTGAGTACAAGTAGTTTATGTGGGAGGTAATCCTAGAAAGCATTAGTAAAGAAAGGGTAAAGTGAGACAGGAAGCTACACATGCACTGTTGATGAACAGACGAAACAGGCCAGTACACAGTCATGGGAGGTGCCCAGTAAGTGTGCTGCACTAATGAGGGGCCCCAGCCACTGTCTCCAGAGTGATGTAGAAAGAGCCCCCAGCAAAATAGATCTTCCTGGGTGCCTCTGTGCTCTATTGTTGATGAGGGGCTATTCTGAGTGGGTGCTATCTAGTTCTAAGACTTGAGGAAGCCACCTGGTTTGGTACAAAGTGCCCTGACCACAGGTCAAGAGGTCCAGACAATACCACTAGCTGACTGTGAACTTGAGGAAGTGATTTCATCTCTCTGAGCCTTGCATCAGCATCCTCCTTTGTAAGATATGAGAGTTGGAATGATCTTGAAATTTTTTCCTGCTCTATCATTCACCAATTCCTTGGCTATCACTATGGGTTGATTTTGCAGTCAGACCAGCCTAGGCCTTAATAACAAATAGACTTCCTGAATCATAAGAAGTTTATTTATTTCCCTTGTAATGCTATAGGGCCAGTGTTCAAGTTGTCTTCCTTCTATTTAGATAATTATGTTGGTGGTGGCTCTTTCATTTTCAAATATTACTTTCAAGGTGCCTTGGGAATTGGTATAGAGCTGGTGGAAGGGAAAAAAGATGGAACATCACTCAAGATGTGGTTTTATGGGCTAAGCTTGGAAGAGACACACACTACTTCTGCTCACATTTCATTAGCCAGATCTTAGTCCCATGGCCACACCTAATTGCAGGTGAGGCTGAGAAATCAGGTCTAGGCCTATGAGCAAGAAGAGGAAATGGGTTTGGGTAAGTATCTAGAAGTCTCTGTCACAGTTAGTGCTGCCCCTGAAGCATCAGGGAGTACTTTTACCTCCACTCTTCCCATCCCTCACTCTTCCTGCCTTGGGGGAAATAACAAGTTCTTACAGCACATGTGCTTCTCTTCCCAGAGAAAAAAACTTTCCTGTGACCCCTCACCCTGGGGACCTTGGAAATCTTACAACACTGTAGGTAGCCTGAGCTCTCCAAGACCATAGGACTTTACCACCTTCTTAGAAGACTTTGTGTACTGATCTGTGTTTCTCTCACTCTTCCTAATTTATTTCACAGTAGTATACAGTACAACAAGGTTTTGTTTGTCAAGACCCTATCCTTGCCTTTAGAGGTTAAGAGTAAGGGCTTTGGAGCCTGGGTTCAAACCCTGGCTTGGCTGCTAAAGACCTTGAGTAAGTTACTTAACCTCTGAGCCTCAGTTTCCTTACCTATAAAGTGAGGATATTAATATCTACCTTACAATATGGGTGAGATGACTTGTATGGATTTTGGCAGTTTACTGTCATTAATAGTAATAGCTCTTTGCAAATAAATACTGAGTTGAGTGGGCCATGCTGTAAGTTTGTTTTAGCCAACTATGTGAGGTTCAGAGTACATTGGTAGATTTATGAGAATTATTATACTTCCACAAGTATTTCTGAGCTCCCACCAGGCACCAGGTACTGGAGAGATAGAGATAAGTAAGGCATGCCTTCTGGCTTCTAGAGCTCACAATCCTGTGGATAGTTCTTGACAAGATTGAGCTTATCTCTTGGCTACACCCCCCACAGTTTTGGCTCCTCCACCTGTTCCTGGAGTGGGCATTCTGTGCATGTGGTATACTCTCCTGTGGATTCCAGATTTATACAACCAACTGCTTACCTGGCATCTTCAATAGTATCCCAAACTTAGCGTGTCTGAAATGGAGCTCTTGACTTCTCCCTCCAACCTGTTCTTCCCACTATCTCCCCTATCTTGGAAAAAGATACCACCAGTATCCACTCAGTTGTTCAGGCCAAAAACCCAGGAGTTTTCACCACTTCCTTTTTGTCTCCCAATACTCATATCTAATTTATCATCAAGTCCTCTCTGTTCTGTCTCTAATTCATGTATCAAAACTACTCTTGTTGTTCTGTCTTACCTGCTTTATTCTTGTCCAAGAACCATTATCTCTTTCCTGGACTAGGGCAATTGTTTTTTAATGAATTCATTATCTCCCCTCAGGAACTAGGGTGATATTTAAAAGATTTAAATAAGATCATCTGAGCCCCATATGATTGGGCCCTACTTCCCTCTGACGTCATCCATCATTGTTCCCCTCACTCATTGGCTCTGGCTACTCTGGGCTTTTGCTTGTTTCTATTTCTCGCTTTTCTTTCTGCCAGAATTCTTCTTCCTTTCACACAATGTGTAGGTCAATCTTTCTCTTCATCTTTCTCAACCCAAATGTAATCCTTTCAGAGAGGTCTTCCCTGACTTTTTATGTCTCAGATCAATTAGTTCTCATCCCACATCCCCAACATAGGGTAACTCAATTGATTCACCTATTTTATTTCCTTGTTAGCATTTATTATGGTCTGAAATAGCATAATTTATTTATCTGTCCTCCCCATAGAATGTGAGCTCCCTGAACTCAGGTATATTTCTACTAATTTATGCCTATATTTCAGTATTTGAAAGTGGTGGTGGTGGTTCATACTGGTAGTGGTGGACTTGGAGGTGGTGGTGGTTATAGTGTTGGAAGTTCAGGTGGTGGAGTTGCTGGAAATGAGGGGTAGTGGTGGTAGAGGTGGTGGTGGTGGTGGAGGCGGTGGTGGTAGTCATACTGGTGGTGATGGTGGTCATGAAGACCATGGTGGTGGCAGAGGTGGTGGTAGAGGTGGTGCAGGTGGAAGTAGTAGTGGAGGTGGAGGTAGAGGTGGTAGTGGTGGTGATGGTGGAGGTGGTGGAGGTGGTTGCTGTTGGTGGTAGTAGTGGTGGTGGTAGTCATACTGGTGGTGATGGTGCTCATGAAGAACATGCTGATGAGATGTGGTAGGAAAATCATAATAAGCATTCTTCAGACAGAGGGAAGAGCATTGCAAATCCTCTGAAGTCAATGGCCAATGTAAATTTTGCTGAGAATTTTTATCCTTTTTTCACTAAAAAAAATGCTAACTGCATCCATCATGACTGCCTCTATTTTCACTAATGCCTTCTGACAATCTGTAGAGTGCCTTTCTCATTCTGGGCCAGAGGTGTGTACTAACATTCCTACTTTTTCTCCCTCCATAGTCCCCTTCCCCAGGGCCTGTCAGAAAGATTCGCTTGCCGACCTCATGTTCCTGGTGGATGAGTCTGTTGGGACCAAACAGAATCTAAGGAACCTGCAGAACTTCCTGAAGAATATCACCTCCTCCATGGATGTGAAAGACAAATGCCTGCGGCTTGGTCTTATGAGTTACAGTGACAGAGTTCAGACTTTTTCTCCTCTGAGCTCAAGCACAACCCAATCTGAATTTCAGAAGCAAATCCAGAAGCTTTCTCTGCGGGCTGGGAAATCCAATGCTGGTGCTGCCATTGAGAAGATGAGGAGAGAAGGCTTCTCAGCATCAAGTGGCAGCAGAAGGGCACAGGGAGTGCCCCAGATTGCAGTCCTGGTCACTGACAGACCATCAGATGACAAGGTGCGTGAGGCTGCACTGAATCTCCGCCTGGAGGATGTAACTGTGTTTGCCATGGGCATCCAAGGGGCCAACAAGACCCAGTTAGAAGAAATAGCGTCTTACCCTCCAGAACAGACCATCTCCATGATGAAGTCCCATGCAGACTTGGAAATTTACAGTAAGAAGTTCTTGAAAAAGCTCCAGAATGAAATATGGTCCCAAATTTCAACTCATGCTGAACAAATGGAACTTGATAAAACTGGTATGTCTTTAAAAATCCTTTTCATAGTATAAAAGTAATATGAGCAGTTGTCTAGGGCTGGGGCAGGAGTGAGGACTTGTAATTGGGTAAGGGAACTTTAGGAGTTATGAAAATGCTCTAAAACTAGATTTTGGTGATGGTTGCACAACTTTGTGAATTTCCTAAAAATCATTGAATGATTGCAGTGGATGAATGTTTTAAGCACGTAAATCATACCTCAATAAAATATACAAAATGTTAATTATAAAATAATTTGATAGTGTTGATGAACATAAAGAAAATAAAATCACCTGTGATCTTATCTTTCAGATAAAGCCATTCTTATCATTTATTTCTCTTATCTTTTAGTCTATTCTCTGTCTCTACACTCATGTACACACAAACACATGCATACACATTTCTTAAAAAAGATGTAACATTATGTGTATCAGTGCTGTCAAACAGAATTTTCTGTAATGATAGAAATGTTCTTTATCTTCACTGTTCGATAAGGAGACCACTAGCCAATCTTGGCTATTGAGCACTTGGAATGAGGCTAATGGAACTGAAGAACTGTGTTTTAATTTTAATTTAATTTAATTTTTATTTTAATAGCTATATGCTGATGGCTGTCATATTAGACAATGCAGGAGCACACTGTTGGGTAACTTGTATCAGTTACAATTACTTCTGAGTGTGACTAACAAAAGAAAAAATAACAATGATTTCAATAGGATAAAACTATTTTTTTTTCTGTTTCACAAATAAGTCCTAAGGTAGGTATAAGGAGCTGGGTAGTACAACACCGTGTCAGGGACCCTGTCTCTTTCTAAGTTATTTTTCTGCTCTTTGTGGTCTCTATTCCCAGCATTATAATCCAAGATAACTGCTCCTGGCATTACATTCACATCTAGCAACAAGAATTATAAAAGAGAAGGAAAAGGCAGGTTTCCCCCTCTTTTTCTTCAAGGATATTCCCAGGAATTACACTCGCCATCTTTGCTTACATCCTATTGGCCAGAACTTAGTCACATGTCACTCTTCATTGTAAAAATGAGAACTAGGAAATGTAGTCTTTACTTGGGGCAGCCAAGTACCTAGGCAAATATTGGGGACTAAATTAGTGTAGAAAAGAGAATGGATATTGGGGATAACCGGTATGATATGCCTTATTCACTTTTCTATCAACCTTATAACATGAACTTTTGTCCATCTCCTTAAATTTTTTTGGCAATATTCTTTTTAGGTTGGGAATAATATTCCGTCCTATGGATATAACATAATTTGTTTAACATATCCTAAATTGTTGGATATAGAAGTCATTGCCAATGTTTCGCTCTTATAAAAGTTTTGCAGGGATCATCATCGTACTTATATCTTTATACACAACCGAATCTGCTATAGTTTTACCAAGTTCTTTTCAAAGATACCAGGACATATTGCCAGAAGATACTTGATGTGACTTCGAGCTTATCTAATTCTGAGATATCTGCTGACATTTCCCTGCAGATAAAATGCTTCCAAACAATAGGAACTCAAATTTGGCAGCACTCACATGGAAAAGAATCCTCCAATGATGTTAAAGACTAATTTTAAATTCAGATTAGCCGATGGAAAGTTTAAGGATGCAATCCTGGGCCAGCCCTTGATTTCCTCTTGCATATATGCATTACAAGGCAGCAGCAAGAAACCAGTCCCCTATTACCTCCTGAGTGATACAGAGAGGAGTCTCTCAGAGTGGCAGCTGCCTTGGTCTAGTAGCAACTTTTAGGGCATAGGAGGGATGTGTAGCGCGGTCTCTCTCAGGGAGTTTGAAATTATGTGACAAAAAATTATTATTGTCATTACAGAATTTCTAAATGGGAAGATGTGGGACCAAGGCTAGGACAAGGGCCATCCTTATCTTCCATAAGGCCTCAGTAAGTGCCTTCTTATTAATTCAGTGGCTCTCTAATACTGGTACCTGACTTAGATTGAGTTCCTCAGATATAGATGTCAGATAAGGATTCATGTGTAACTGATATATTAAAAATATACCCAGGAAAAACTGGAGATTGGTAGAGAAGGGAGGATATGGGACCAGGAAGGACAGGATGATAAGCCCCATGATAAGTTCCATGGAGGGTCAATTCCACAGGACCATTTGAGAGACAGTGTGGGTTAAACCTTAGATTTGTCCTAGACAGGGGTCAACGTAACTGGAGAATTTATATTCCAGCACACAGAAGGGAATGTACATTTCCAGACACCTCTGGTTTAATACCAAGCAAAAAGGGTTTCAACAACCCGAGAGCAGCCCACCCACCCACAGACACTGGTGCTAGCTATTGGAATGAAAGTGCTGGGAACTTGTTACACAAAAATGGTAAAGGATTTGAGGGGATACAGGCAGAACACCAAAAGTGTCTGCTGTAAATTTATCAGGACTTCCTGAGGAGCTTACTAATAATTCAGTGGCCCAACCCAATGACTCAGTCTCTGCGAGTAGGGCCTAGGCCACCTGGATTTTAGAAAGCTCCCCAGCAAACTCACTCTAGCAATATCTGAGAACCACTGCCTCAGTGAATTTGCCATGGTCTACAGTGGGGTGGCCAGGTTTGTAGTTTCAGAACGGTCAGACACAGAGAACCAATCTCTACTGACTTAGTCCTTGCTGTATCCACCACCTTCGGCACCACTAGGTATTCAATTTATTAAATAGAACTTCATTAAAGCAAGGAAAGACTCACATTAACCAAACCAAGAGGCTATGATAAAAAAAGATTGACGATTATCTCTGCAATGGAACTATTAGTGCCCAGGGACCTAGACATTCATGTCCTCTGAGCAACATAGTCTCTCCCTGTAGACATATAGACAAGTCAGAAGCTAAAATGTGATCAAAAGACTGCTGGATGATGTGGAATCAGAGCAAGGGAGTTAGTTTTATGACTGAAATGTCTAGTGGTATTTAATCAGGGGAATGACTATTTTAAAATCAAATATATAGATCTACATCTCTGTCTATCTCTCTGTATAACTGCAGGTGAGGCCTTGTGCCAGGAGACACATTTCTCTTCAACCCTGTCCACTTGAACTTTTTAGATGGATATATTCTGTAATTACACTGTCCAATATAATAGCCACTAGCCACATGGGACTTTTAAGCACCTGAAATGTGGCTTTTGCAACTGAGGAGCTGACTTTTAAATTTTATTTAATTTTAATCAGTTTAAGTTCACATTTTAATAGCAACATGTGACTCACAGCCCCAGGCAGAGTTGGATGGGTATTGCCATGGTTACCCCCGGACTCGAATTTTTCTCTTCCACATTACTGACCACCATTCTTCTTTATTACATATATAAGTCAATTCATTCTGGTTGCTGTCAAGTTTTTGTGGCCTGGCATCACCCCTGTCTTTTACAGATAACTGCTTACCTTTGCCCTAATACTTTTTTAAAAAATAAATTTATTTATTTATTTTTGGCTGTGTTGGCTCTTTGGGGTTTCTCTAGTTGCAGGAAGCGGGGGCTACTCTTCGTTGTGGTGCATGGGCTTCTCATTGCAGTGGCTTCTCTTGCTGTGGAGCACAGGCTCTAGGTGCACAGGCTTCAGTAATTGTGGCTCGTGAGCTCTAGAGTGCAGGCTCAGTAGTTGTGGCGCACGGGCTTAGCTGCTTAGCGGCATGTGGGATCTTCCCGGACCAGGGCTCGAACCCGTGTCCCCTGCATTGACAGGCAGATTCTTAACCACTGTGCCACCAGGGTAGTCCCTGCCCTAATACTTTATATGTAGATTTTATAGTTTAATTCTCAGGGTCAAGCTTATTTCCAGTATTTCTGATTTCTTAAGGACCAACTCTTCATAGCCTGAAGTAGTGTCAATAGCCATATATTGCCAACAAGCTATCAAGAAAGAAAATATTTCTGAAATGACTAAATTGTGTTGTATTTTAAAGACCTTTTCACATACTCAACCAGGTAATTGTGCACATAAATAAATTTTAAAGGTATGCTTTTCCTTCTACCCAATTTCAAAAATGGTTAAATAGAGTTGTAAATAGACTATTAGGAAAGTTAAAGCACTTTTTCAGAGAAGCTGCTCAACAAAGGAAGGAACATTTAGAGCTCCTTTATTTACAATTTTCTGTTGAAATCCTGTGATATACCAGGCCTACCGGGCAGAAGCAGAAAACTAGGCAAAGTCTCACCCTCATGGAGCTGACATTCTGTGACAGGAGACAGGCTGTGCTCATGAACAAATGAATAGGTAATTTCAGAAAGTAATGGGCATCATAAGGAAAATAGGTTAATAGAATAGACAATGATTGATGTGCTTTAGCTGGAAGGGAAGCCCTTCTAAAGAGCCGACATTTGAATTGGCATGTCCAGGAGGTGAGAAGGAACCAGCCATGAAGATTTTGGGGGAAAAATATTCCAGGAAAGAGGATAGGTGCAAAAGCCCTGGGGCACATTTAGAGTACAGTAGAAGCCCAGTGTCGCTGGAACACAGTGAGGAAGATGAAGAATTGCTGGAAATAGGGTCAGAGAGAAAAGAAGGGGGAAAGATCAGCTGATTTTTCATTTTTAAATTCTAAATACAATGATAAATCGTTTAAGCAGAAGAGTAATATGATCTGGTTCTAGTTTTAAATACAATATTCTAGTTGTTCTGGACAGAAGAGGTTATTGGGGAAGTAAGAACAGAAGGTCATTTCTCAGGAAATGTTAAGGCATAAACTAAAAAGCTAGGTGTCAATACGAGAAAAACGATTGTAACTAAAAGCCTGGAGACTTGGGAATCTTGTCCTTACTCTTTAATTCACTGGCTGTGTGACCTCAGACAAACCACTAGGCCTCATTCAGTTTCAATTTCCTCAGAAGGTTGTGGTAAATTTCAAAGGAGAAAATGGGTATGAATGTGCGCAGCGAAGTGTCCAGGCTCCGTGCAAACCTGAAGTGTTCTCATTCTTTAGAACCTTCGCAGTCTCATCCTCCTCTCCAAACCCTCCTGCAATGTTCTCTCCAGATTCTCTATAGTTAACAGAGAATGCAATTTCTGCTTTCCATTTTTCTTCAGGCTGTGTAGATACAAAAGAAGCTGATCTCTATTTCCTCATTGATGGCTCAAGCAGCATTCAGAATAAACACTTTGAGCAAATCAAGGAATTTATGCTGGCGGTGATAGAGATGTTTAGCATCGGCCCAGACAAAGTCCGAGTTGGAGCTGTGCAGTATTCCCACAAGAAGGAAGTGGAATTTGATATCAATGACTATCCTAATGATGTGACATTAAGAAAGGCTGTTTCTAACATCAAGCAACTTGGAGGCAGAACTCTTACTGGGGCAGCCCTGGATTTCATTCTGCCACTAATAAGGAAGGGAAGGAAGCAGAGGATGAATGAGGTACCCTGTTACCTCATTGTGTTGACTGATGGGAAGTTCACGGATGGTGTCCTGGAACCTGCTGAGAGACTAAGGGCTGAACACATCACCATCCACGTGGTCGGCATTGGTGAGGCTAACAGAACACAACTGCAACAAATTGCTGGGGCAGAGGAAAGGGTTAACTTTGGGCAGAACTTTGATTCTTTAAAAAGAATCAAAAATGAAGTTGTTCGCAGCATCTGCACTGAGAAAGGTAAGCAAAAGTAAAAGGCTTTATTCTCTGTACTTCGTTGGTTGCTTCAGGCAGACTTAATAGGCCGGAACAAGGAATGACGTGACCAGTTGTCTGGCTCACATTTTGCTAACTTCCTTTATAACTGTGGAGGGATTCAGCCCCTCATTTTAAGCCAATTGCCAAGGTTGGAGAACCCCTATATAGAGAGCTGCCCTAAGGCCATCTCGAAAGCCATAAGTGTGAAGGTTGCTAAGAATGTTGTTGCTTTGACAAAGCCCACTGCTGTGGAGGATAAGAAACTTATATTTGTGTATGTGTGTGTTTGTGTGTGTGTACACACTAATCCAGGCAGATGAAGACAGTGGAAAGAAAATGGGCGCTGGCTTTAAGTAGATTAGGGTTCAATTCACTTCACTGCTTGAACCTTGAACTTCCTTGTCTGGAAAATGAGGATAATACCTACATCAGAGTATCTGTATAGGTTTAGCATAATAAACACCAACCATTATTTCTCTATTATGAATGCACACCTAGGACATATGTAACCCTTGCTTATTTTTATTTATAACAGAAACACGTATTTGCATTTTTGTTCTGACCAAAAATTAAGTAACAGAAGTAAGGAAGAACAATGTGCAAATTCCTGCACCTGATTGTTATTTCTCTTATTAGTAATAGCCACTTATCTAAAAAAAAGATACAAATGAACTTATTTACAAAACAGAAATAGACCCACAGACATAGAAAACAAACTTATGGTTACCAAGGGGAAAAGGGGAGGAGGGATAATTTAGGAGGTTAGGTTTAACACATACACACTACTATATATAAAATAAACAACAAGAACCTACTACTGTATAGCGCAGGGGACTTTTACTCAATATTTTGTAATAACCTATAAGGGAAAAGAATCTGAAAAAGTATATATATATATATATATATATATATATATATATATATATCTGAATCACTGTGCTGTACACCTGAAACTAACATGACATTTTTAATCAACTATACTTCAATAAAATTTTAAAAAATAATAATAGCCACTTACTAATTGAAGATGGGTGTGTGTTGACTGCGAGTATTAGCACCTGAAAATATCGTCTGCCAAGAGTCATGTTACTTACTGATTAAGATAAAGGATGATGGAGTCAAAGCATCAAAGTTCACAACCCAGATTTATCAATTATTGGCTGTGGACCTTGAATGGGTTACTTACTGTCTACCTGCCTTTGTCCCATATGTGTAGGCATATTGTGAAGCCTAAAGGTACTAATACATGCAGGGCACTTAAAAGAGGGCTTAGCCCATGGTAAGCGCTACATAAAACGTGGCTATTTTAAAAGTTGGTCAAGGTGTTCACTGATGTGGAAAGGAAAAGAATTCTAACTTACTTGAACTTACAAAAGTGAAAATGTGTTAGAATTTTTTCTGAGTCACTAAAATCCAAAGAAAAATAAACCAGCAAATAAGTAGCATTAACAGCAAAATCCTAAATCACAACTTTATTGATTTTTTTCTTCCTGTTATGGACAGTAGTAGAGTAGGGTTTTCAGGATGTCTTAGAATGAGTGTAAGAGTACAGATTCCCTGACGTTTCCTGGAGTTGATGCCAAGGAAAGTAAAAGGGTTTCAGGAAACCTAAAATAGATTGTACTTCAGGTCTTCTCAAGGGAGAAAGTCATGGACCAATCTGAAGAAAGACAGTACTTTTTTTTTGTTGATCAGGTAGTTGCAGTTCAGGTGCCAAAACCCTGGCACACCTGAGGGAGGAGACAAACTGTGGACAAGGAAATGAGCCATAATATGGTGAATAGAGAGGCAGGAAAACTAAGGACCCTATGCTGGAGGGCCTGGAAACCACTGACTGGTCTCAGAGCACATGTGGATGGAATGACACTGTGTATTGGTTCAGGAGCAGGTTAAGTGGTTCTAGCAAAAAGACCCTAAACTACACAACATAGAATATTGTTTCTCTTTTCTGTAATAGTCCAGAGTAAGCAGTCCAGGTCTAGCAAAGAGGCTGGTTCATTACCCTGCATTTGTGGAAAGGGAGATAGGGCCAGGGGAGCCCACCATGCTCAATTGTTTTATTGTTAAGTCCCAGAAGTGGCCAAATCAGTCCTGCTAATATCTACTAGCAAGAACTTAGTCACAGGGCCACATCTAGCTTCAAGGAAGCCTGGGAAATATAGCCTTTACCTGGGCAACCATCTGCCTAGTTGAAACTCTTTTATTGATGTGGAAGAGTGGGAGATGGTAGAGGGCCAGAGTGGCTTCCATGACAAATTGAGACGAGGAGGTAGATCCTGTGAATACTGAACCACAGGTAAAAGTCTCCTCTTTTGACATGTGTTCATGGAAGAGAACCTTCCACACTTCGCAGAGCTGGGGCTTTGCCAAGGCCACAAACGTCTTCGGGAACTTCCCTATTTACAACTTTCAAAATGGCTCCAGGGCAGCATGGATCTCAAATGATGGTTTTAATACCCTCTGGTGAGCCTTATACAAGTTATTAGAAAACAGATGGCATCTTTTAATTCTTCTATGGCTGATACTGTATCATCGTTTTCAAATGTATCATCATTTGAAAATGATGATACATTTTCAAATACTATGGGATAGATTCTGTGAGTATTGAGGGAGGGGCTGGTAAAAGAATGGCAGTGATAACAGATAGACAAAAGGGTTAAGACTAAGGAGATACATGCTAAAGAAAATATATTTACACTATATATAGAATATGTAATATAAATATATACTATGGTACATATATATGTATAGATATACACACACAACTCCTGCACCATGAATTAATAACACTTTTTTATGGCTGATAGAAATTGGTCTTCTATGTGTGTATATATGTACAGATACATATATATGCATATAAATGTCCACTTCCAGTCAGTAGGGTATCTACAAATTTTATGTATAAATAAAGGAACAGTCCATGTTGAATGGATATGTGCTTACTAATGTACTTATTATCTCTAGTAAAAGCTTTTCACCTAAATTTCTAATATTGATTTGTAGAGTTTATCAAATCACTTTATTTTTTTAACATCTTTATTGGAGTATAATTGCTTTACAATGTTGGGTTAGTTTCTGCTGTATAACAAAGTGAATCAGCTATATATATACATATCCCCATATCCCCTCCCTCTTGCATCTCCCTCCCACACTCCTTATCCCACCCCTTCAACTGGTCAAAAAGCACTGAGCTGATCTCCCTGTGCTAGGCAGCTAATTCCCATTAGCTATCTATTTTACATTTGGTAATATATATATGTCAATGCTACTCTTTCACTTCTTCCCAGCTTACCCTTCCCCCTCCCAACATCCTCAAGTCCATTCTCAATGTCTGCATGTTTATTCCTGTCCTGCCCCTAGGTTAGTCAGAAACTTTTTTTTTTTTTAGATTCCATATATATGTGCCAGCATACGGTATTTGTTTTTCTCTTTCTGACTTACTTCATTCTGTATGACAGACTCTAGGTCCATCCACCACACTACAAATAACTCAATTTCATTTCTTTTTATGGCTGAGTAATATTTCATTGTATATATGTGCCACGTTTTCTTTATCCATTCATCTGTCGATGGGCACTTAGGTTGCTTCCATGTCCTGACTATTGTAAATAGAGCTGCAATGAACATTGTGGTGCATGACTCTTTTTGGATTATGGTTTGCTCAGGGTATATGCCCTGTAGTGGGATTGCTGGGTCGTATGGTAGTTCTATTTTTAGTTTTTTAAGGAACCTCCATACTGTTCTCCATAGTGGTTGTATCAATTTACATTTCCACCAACAGTGCAAGAGGGTTTGGTGGTACTGAATTCTCTTAACTTTTGCTTGTCTCTAAAGGTTTTATTTTCTCCATTCGAATCTGAATGAGATCCTTGCTGGGTAGAGCAATCTTGGTTGTAGTTTTTGTTCTCATCACTTTAAATATGTCCTGCTACTCCCTTCTGGCTTGCAGAGTTTCTGCTGAAAGATTAGCTGTTAACCTTAAGGGGATTCCCTTGTATGTTATTTGTTGCTGTTCCCTTGCTGCTTTTAATATTTTTTCTTTGTATTTAATTTTTGATAGCTTGCTTAATATGTGTCTTGGCATGTTTCTCCTTGGCTCTGGACGCGCAGGCTCAGTGGCCATGGCTCACGGGCCTAGTCGCTCCGCGGCATGTGGGATCTTCCCAGACCGGGGCACGAACCCATGCCCCCTGCATTGGCAGGTGGCCTCTCAACCACTGCACCACCAGGGAAGCCCCCCATATTAGTGAAGTTTTCAAGTTTTCAAGTATAATCTCTTCAAGTTATCTTCTCAGATAACTTTCTTTTCCTCTTCTTCTTCTGAGACCACTGTAATTCAAATGTTAGTACATTTAATGTTGTCCCAGAGATCTCTGAGACTGTCCTCAATTCTTTTCATTCTTTTTATTTTATTCTGCTCTGCAGTAGTTATTTCCACTATTTTATCTTCCAGGTCACTTATCCATTCTTCTGCCTCAGTTATTCTGCTATTGGTTCCTTGTAGAGAATTTTTACTTTCATTTATTATATTATTCATCGTTGTTTGTTTGCTCTTTAGTTCTTCTAGGTCCTTCTTAAATGTTTCTTGTATTTTCTCCCTTGTAATTCTAAAATTTTGGATCATCTTTACCATCATTACTCTGAATTCTTTGTCAGGTAGACTGCCTATTTCCTCTTCATTTGTTTGGTCTGGTGGGTTTTTACCTTGCTCCTTCATCTGCTTCATATTTGTCTGTCTTCTCATTTTGTTTAACTTACTGTGTTTGGGGTCTCCTTTTCACAAGCTGCAGGTTCATAGTTCCTGTTGTTTTTGGTGTCTGTCCCCAGTGGGTGAGGTTGGTTCAGTGGCTTGTGTAGGCTTCCCGGTGGAGGGGACTGGTGCCAGTCTTCTGGTGGGTGGGGCTGGATCCTGTCTTTCTGGTGGTCATGGCTGCATCCAGTGGTGTGTTTTTAGGTGTCTGTGAACTTAGTATGATTTTAGGCAGACTCTCTGCTAATGGGTGGAGTTGTTTTCCTGTCTTGCTAGTTGTTTGGCACGGGGCATCGAGCACTGGAGCTTGCTGACCGTTGGGTGGAACTGGGTCTTACCATTGAGATGGCGATATCTGGGAGAGCTCTCGCATATTGATATTATGTGGGGCCTGGAGGCCTCTGGTCGTCCAATGTCCTGCACTCAACTCTGCCACCACAGTGGTCCATGCTTGACACCAGGCGGGAGCACCAAGATCTTGTCAGCCACATGGCTCAGAAGAAAAGGGAGAAAAAGTAAAAGAAAAAAACTTTTAAAATAATTTTAAAAATTATTCAAATAAAAAAATAATAATAACAAAAAGAAGAGAGAAATAAAACCAATAAACCAATCCACCAATGATAACAAGTGCTGAAAACTATACTAAGATAAACATAAAAACCAGAAACCAGTCAGTTGCAGACAGCAAACCGAAGTCTACAGTTGCTCCCAAAGTCCACCGCCTCATTTTTGGGATGATTCGTTGTCTATTCAGATATTCCACAGATGCAGGGTACATTAAGTTGATTGTGGGGATTTAATCCACTGCTCCTGATGCTGCATGGACAGATTTCCCTTTGTCTTCTTTGTTCGCACAGCTCCTGGGGTTCAGCTTTGGTTTTGGCCCCACCTCTGCGTGTAGGTCGCCCTCAGGAATCTGTTCCCACCCAGACAGGACAGGGTTAAAGCAGCAGCTGATCATATGTCTCTGGCTGATTCAGGCTGGGGGGAGGGGGCAGTACGGTAGTTATAATTGGAACGCAGGGCGAGCCTGCAGTGGCAGAGGCTGCCATGACATTGAAACAGCCTGAGGCGCACCATGTGTTCTCCCAGGGAAGTTGTCCCTGGGTCATGGGACCCTGGCAGTGGCAGGCTGCACAGGCTCCTGGGGGGTTGTGGACAGTGACCTGTGCTTGCACACAGGATTCTTGGTGGCTGCAGCAGCAGCATTAGCATTTCATGCCCATCTCTGTGGTCCGAGCTGATATCTACAGCTCGCACCCATCTCTGGAGCTCATTTAGGTGGTGCTCTGCCTTCTGTGGGCAGACAGGGAAGGAATCCCCTCTCCTCATGCACCCCAAAACAATTATCTCTTGCCTGTTAGGCAGGTCCAAACTTTTTCCCAGACTCCCTCCCGGCTAACTGTGGCACACTAGCCCCCTTCAGGCTGTGTTCATGCAGCTAACCCCAGTCCTCTCCCTGGGATCTGACCTCCGAAGCTGAAACCTCAGCTCTCAGCCCCCACCCATCCCGGTGGGTCAGCAGACAACCCTCTCAGTTTGGTGAGTGCTGGTCAGCACTGATCCTCTTTGAGGGGATCTCTCCTATTTGTCCTCTGCACCCCTGTTGCTGTGCTCTCCTCCATGGCTCCAAAGCTTCCCCCTTCCACCCCCCGTCTCTGCCAGTGAAGGGGCTTCCTAGTGTGTGGAAACTTTTCCTCCTTCACAGCTCCCTCCCAGAGGTGCAGGTCCCGTCCCTATTCTTTTGTCTCTGTTTTTTTCTTTTGTCAGCATTCAATAGGAATTGTTCCACATGTAGATATATTTTTGATGTATTTGTGGAGAGGAAGGTGATCTCCACATCTTACTCCTCTGCCATCTTGAAGGTCGCCCCTCAAATCACTTTAAATTATCCCAGGAAATAATGCTATATAAGGATTACCTGGAAATTTGTGTTTCAAGAATATACATAAAACCCTGGAATATTAGTCATATTAGTGCCCCAAATTGCTTACTTTTCTCTGTCCTTCTTTTTTGATCACCATTGCATCCTTAATGTATAGCCTGATGCTTTCTATTTCATAAACTTCAAGAATTATGAATGAATAAATGCATATATGCATAAGTGAGTGAATGAATATATACTTTTGAAGTTGTATTTCTTCTCTAAAACTTCTTAGGTAATCTTCAATGAATTTCTGATTTAGGGTTCTAGGCAGCAGGCTTCTACAAAAGAAGCAGATAAAATTTTCAAATGCAATGGAAGTTGCTTGAGTTAATTTTAGATATTTTCTGATTAAAGGATTTATTTCTGCTTTACTGTCTTTTATACATTCTGAGGACAATTCCAACCTGGTTTATTTCTGGTCTTTTTGATTACATGCAGGATGTGAATACATGAAGGTCGATATCATGTTTCTGGTGGATGGTTCTAGCAGTATAGGATCTGAAAATTTTGGGAAAATGAAAACCTTCATGAAAAACCTGTTAGCTAAGGTTCAGATTGGCCCAGACAAAACCCGAGTTGGTGTCATTCAATTCAGTGATCATAATAGGGAAGAATTCCAGCTTGATAAATACTATACACAAAAAGAAATTTCTGATGCAATAAACAGAATGTCTCCCATCAACCAAAACACTTTGACTGGAAGTGCACTAGCCTTTGTGGATCCATACTTCACTGAGCCCAAGGGGGGCCGTTCAATGGTCAAAAAGTTTCTCATCCTCATCACTGATGGAGAAGCCCAAGATGATGTGATAGACCCTGCAAAAGCTCTTCGGGACAAAGGTGTGGTCATCTTCTCTGTGGGAGTGTACGGGGCCAATAGATCTCAGCTGGAGGAGATCAGTGGGGACGGCAGCCTGGTCTTCCAAGTTGAGAACTTTGATGATCTAAAGGCAATAGAGAGTAAACTCATCTTCCGCGTGTGTGCTCTTCATGGTAAGTGACCCTGTTATCCTTCAGGACTCAAGGGTGTGAGCTGTTGACTTTATAGTGGGGTGAACAGTGACTTGGACACTGGGCTTGGCCTCCAACTGGACTTTGATATTAAATTTTGATCTTATCTATGCTATGTTAATATACCCATGACCTCAGGAACATATATACGAAATACCAAGACATATTCTAGAATAACAGTTTTGTCAGCTAATTTGGCAAAATGTACTCTGATTTTGATGACTTTAAATATATTCCAAGAAGGTCTCAGAATTTTACATTAAATTTCCAACTCTTTAATACCTGCATACCTAGATTTTCCAGAGCCAATTTTTAATCCCAAATGATTCCCCAAATTGTTTCTTGGCTACCTATAACCATTGTTAAGCAGTAAATAGAAATACAAATTCATCTTCTTCTTAGTTAAATTAAAACCAATATCCTAAGCACAGCATCACCCCAACAAAAACCCTCTGTATTTTAAAGTTATAGTGTATATTTTCATCACTTCACATTATTCTCTTACCCTCTATCAGCTAAGTATCATGTATCAGCTGTTTGTGTGTCTATCCCTTTGGAAAATTTTAATTTGCTACTTTTTTTTAAAACAATTGCTTGGAGTCATCACTTTTATCTGACAAACTGTAATCCTTTTCAAATTGAATTGAACAACCTTCAGTTTGAGCCCATCAATTTTAATGACTCGAGTAAGAGCTTGCTATAGATCCACATGTAAGGTTAACAGCACCTGTGCTTTTAAATCTACCATGTGCTGTTGTTATCTGTGTTTTGGATACAACTAAGGGAACAAACCAAAGCATTAGTAATTGTATATTGTTCCTCTGGCAACAGAGGCCTCCTCTGGACTTCGTTCTTCAGGATTATGTGTTTCAAAATTTCAGAAAGTTAACAAATAAGATGTCTTAGTATATAAACTCTGAGCTTTAGGCAGTAGCTCTAAGATTTCTCTTGGAGCAGCTTAACTGGAATTTTTTTTCTTCCTCCAAGAATGGCAGTGATTCCCAAACCCTTGGGATTGTAGACACATTCTAAGAAAGGCTTACCTTAAGGCCACGGCCCCACCTTTGAAATCGAAAGGGCTCTTTCCAGCCTTTCTTCATTTTGAGAAATGTAATGTTTGTGGAGACCTTCTCTATAGCATGAGGTGAAGTTTTAGCTGACTCATACATTAGATCAATTCATAAATATTTATCGAGTTATTACTAGTCACCAAATCACACTGGGTTGTTTTTCTGACGTAGCCTGGGCTCATCCACAGTGGATGAGACTTGAAATTTTGAGGCCTCATTGCCAGAAATAAGTATTGGAGGTAAGATAGGCAGGTGGAGGGTGAACCTTTAGGAAACATGTGCTTAAGTTACTTAGGGAAGGAAAAGAGTGGAAACAAGCTCACACTTTGGAGACTGAGCCAGAGTGGTTGCTTGGCTTCTAATGTGGAAGAGGGCTTGGGGCTGGGGTGAGGTGAAAGGAGACTTAGCTCTCCCCCTACATGGGCTTTTCTGGGTTCCAATTTGAGAAGTCAGGGGAAGGAATACATGTAAATTCAAAGAGGCATGGTGCACATGGGAAAGTTTATCTACTAGAAGATGAGGAGACAGCTGGAGTCTGAAGGAGCAGGATGAAACTCCCAGTTTATCCACTGAGCCCCTGACCCTTTCAAAACTACAGGCCAGTCTGGCAAACATTGGTCGTGTCTCGCCACTGAACTACATTGAATTACCTTCTGACATTCCCTTCCAGTTGAAAGCCTGCTTAGCAAAAGGTGTTGCACGACCTGATGAAATTTAGCAGAATAGAGTCGGGAGGCATGAGGAGCACCAATCTGATCACAGAGTTACATAGATAAGGGTGCCAGTGTCCTTGGAATCATGATGTGGGCAAGTTCTACATCTCTAAGCCCTCAGCTTCTTTCTCTTTAAAATGGCAACAGTAACTAAGTGAACTGCAGTATCTGGCACGTGGGAGGGACATGGCAAACGTAGTTTGCTTCCCTTCTAGTCTGTGCAGAACACACTGCAGGAAGTTTGTGATGCCTACTCTCTTCTCCTTTCAGATTGTAAAAGGATTAGACAGTTAGACATTGTGTTTGTGCTGGACCATTCAGGCAGCATCCTGCCCCAAGACCAAGAAAGCATGATCAATGTCACTATCCATTTGGTGAAGAAATCGGATGTTGGCCCGGACAGAGTTCAGTTTGGAGCGCTCAGATACTCGGATCATCCTGAGGTTCTCTTCTACCTCAATACGTACTCAAACAGATCAGCCATCATTGAGCATCTGAGGAGGCCCAGGGACACGGAAGGGAATACCTTCACTGCCAGGGCTCTGCAGCATGCAAACAACCTGTTCATGGAGGAACATGGCAGCCGTCTCAAGCAAAACGTGAAACAGATGCTGATCATCATCACAGATGGGGTATCCCATGACCGAGATCAGCTCAGTGACGCGGCTTCAAAATTAAGAGCCAAAGGCGTCATCATCTATGCAGTGGGTGTAGGAAAGGCTGACCAAGAAGAACTGGAGACTATGGCGGGGGATAAAAACTATACTATCCACGTCAGTGATTTCAACAAACTGAAAGATATTTACCTGCCTCTGCAAGATAGTATGTGTACCAATGCACAAGAGGGTAAGTTGGGCTGTTAAAGTTTCTACAGGGATAGCAATACAAGTTTACACAAAAAATATATGATAACTTGGCTTCCCATTACCTGGGTGTCACAGGATGAACATATCTCTGCTCAGGCTACCAGTTTTCTCATCTCTGAAAGAAATGCATTATTGATTAAGCAAGAGTCTAAAGGTCGTTTGTCACCATATTGAAGACATTATACAAGAAGGTTTCAGAAGGAGTCCTTGCTATCTGGCCTCCCTGTTTCCTTTTTCTTGGCAGAAAGGACTCTTCTTAGGGCAATATTCACCTTTCCTCATTTCACGGCTGCCTGTGCTGCCCATTTGCTTAATGGCCCCAAGTGCAACTACTCGGTATCAGTTTCAGGCCAAACTCAAGTGGAGAGTTTCATGGTTTAAACAGATAGACTTTTGTCTTCAAAGTTCCATGGGCCTCTAAATGGGATTCTCAGCATCCTGTAGGGCCATTGGAAGTCCAAGTGGTATAGTGAACTTTTCTGGATAAAGGCCGGGAATGGGGTAATAGAGACTGGCTGCTAGGAACCAGGAGGGAAGGGATCAAAGCTTATCCATGAGATACCCCGGGGCAGGAGGGGCTGGAGGCATCACATCTGAGGGAGGAAAGGGTGAGATTTGCCACCTGACCTCAAAGCAGCAGATACTGGCAAGTCATCTAGGAGATCTGTGTGCCTCCTTGGAAGGCTGGAATCCTGGCCAGATATTAGCCCAGGCCTCCTGACATGGCAGATGCATCAGTCAACCAGCTAACTTCCTTTCTTCTTTCCTCTTCCCTCCCTTCTTCTGACTTCCTTCTCTTTTTCCTTTCCTCCTCCTTTCCTTCCTCTCCACCAGTTTGAAGCCTACTTTTGTATCCAACACAAATCATGTTTCTATGACTGACATTTACTCACTCTCATCTCTGTGAAATAGTCCAACCCCAAACAAAACCTCCCCCCATATCCTGTGTCGGACCAGCATTTGCTAGGCTGGGTGAAACTACTTCTGACCTCCACAGCTCTACTTTACTTAAGTCAGCAATAAATTCAGCTTCTTGGTTTCAGATACTGAATAATGGTATTTAAGAAAACATGACTTTTCCCAAGAGAGTGGGGCCAGCTCAATTCTTGCACCTGTCTGGTCCTTCCCTAGACTCCCACCCTTGCCATCTGTCCTGCTGCCTTCCAGACCATCCTTAACACGGAGTGATCTTTCTGATACACACTGGGCTGTATCACTGATCTGCTCACAGGTTACAGTTTCTAAACTTCTGAGATCCACTTAGCCCCTGCTGACATCTCCCACCTCATCTCTTACCCCCCATTTCATAGCCTTTCCCATCATCCTGAAATTCCTCCATCTTTGCATGCATCATTCCACCCACCACAAGCCTGCCACTTCCCTTGGCTGCACCTAGCTTGTCTGTCACATCCAGCCTTTGTTTGCCAGTTTCCTGACCCGGCACCCAGCAGTGTCCCCACCGTGTCCCTCAACTCCCGCACCTTCTATTTCTCTTGGTGGTAGCACTTAACTCATACTTGCTGTTTCATTATCTGTACCCATCACAAGACTACAAACTCCTTGGGCAGGCTTGGGCTTTTGTTTATCACTGGGTCCTCACCAAATCTAGTACATTACTAGGACTACAGTCTTTTCCTAGGAATATGGGGACTGCTTTCTTCTCATCTCCCACACCTGTCTTTTTGGAGGTAGATGCTGAGATGGAGTTTGGGATGCAAGAAGTTTATTAGGGAGGCACAGCTGTGAAAGAAAGGGAGGAAAGAAGAACAGGCAGTAGAAGTCAGTGATGCATGCTCCGTCGTCTCAGTTACCTTCAGTGATCACTTTAGTGCTGCCCCATCCCAGCCTTTGCATTTGAAGGGAACCGAGCATCATCCCTTGGTTATGGACCATTTCACACTGGACTTCAGGAAGATGACCCTGTACCCTGTTTATTAACACTTGTCCATGAAATTTTAATATTTGGGTTATGATATTATTAAAACAATTTGTAATATAAAAAAGTGCTGGATTTAAGGATAAAAGGGACCTAGGTACCAGCTCCTCTGCATAGTAATTGCATATTCTGAGGCAACTTACTTAACCTCTGAATTCCATTTCTCTACCTAACAAACAGAATAATTACTCACAAGGTGGTCATGAATATTAACCATTATTGTATGCTAAACAGGTTTTTTAAATGATAACTTTCAACACAGATGTAAAATGGTAACATTAATAGTAACAGGATTACTAGTAATAGTACAGTGGTACTTGGCTTGGGTGAACATTCCAGTATGGGTATGTTGAAGAGATTTCAAGCCTTTGTAATGACCTTTTAATGAATATATTCAACCTAGTCAAATGTCTTACTTTCTTTCTCAGAGTAGTGTTCAGTGTCCTTTCAAATGAATCATGTAAATAATTAAAATTTGAAACAAAATCTATTAGCTTTCTCCTCCCCACTACTTTTTCTTCTCTTTGAGGGCCAATCGTGGTTCTCTCATCTGTTACCTTATCTCAATTTGCCATGAATGTGAGGATTTAGTAAAGCAATTTAAATATTTGAGCGAAGGGAAAATTTAGAATGACTCACAAGGACAGTAACTGATTTATTTTTTCAACTGCAGTCTGTAACATTCAAGAAGCCGATGTGATTTTCTTTTGTGATGGCTCTGACATGGTATCTGATTCAGACTTTGTTACCATGACAACTTTCTTGTCAGACTTAATTGATAATTTTGACATTCAGTCTCAAAGGATGAAAATTGGGATAGCACAATTTGGGAGCCGCTACCAAGAAATTATTGAGTTGCAAAACTCTCTGACTAAAACCCAGTGGAAGTCTAGAATCCAAACTATGACGAAGAGCAACGGGCTTCCGCGAATGGACTTGGCACTGAAACAAGTGAGCGTTATGTTTGAGCAATCCGCTGGTGGGAGAAGGAAGGCTGGTGTCCCTCAGACTTTGGTGGTTATCACATCTGGGGGTCCCCGCTATGATGTGACAGAGGCAGTGAAGACCCTGAGAGAAGATGGCATTTGCATTCTGGCTTTGGGCATAGGAAAGGTTTATAAGGAAGAGCTCTTGTCGATAACGGGCAATTCTGAAAAAATCATCACTTTTAAAGACTTTGATAAACTAAAGAATGTGGATGTGAAAAAAAGAATGGTCCGTGAAATCTGCCAGAGTTGCGGGAAAACCAGTGAGTGCGCCCTTGCTCTTTCTTTGTTATTATTTGATTGCAGCTTCCCAGTTGTCCATTTCCCAAGGTGTCTGTGGGTGAGTCCAGCAGAACACGTGTGCGGTGAGAATAGACATCTCCTCTGTTTCCAGAAATTGAGATTGGTCAGCCTCCCTCAGAGACAGGGGAAAGGGTGCAGAGGCTGGAGGAGGCCCTGGGTTGTGTCCCCTGGTCAGCCCTGCCCCCCAATGTAATCCAGTGGTTATGCTCCTCTAACACCTGGAACTCAGCCTCCTATTTCTACCCTCTCTGCTTCTGGAAGTCCTAGAGCAATGCCCTGCATCCCACAGGAAGTAAGTAAAATAAACATTTGCTGACTGGACGTTTTCCTATTTTAGCTTTGTTAAACCATCTTGTAAGGGATTCAGTGTGCGTGTGGGTGTGTGTGTTGTCCATCTGTGTCAGATGTGTCAGCACACATCTGTACATTTTCTTCTTTGAATGATGGCATTCATATAATCATAACATAGTAAAGATTTGAATTGTCCTTGGGGATTATTTAATTTCCAGAGTTCACCAATGCTGATGGCTACAAAGGCCGGGTGGGTCATGGAAGTGAGTCAAGTGGGCAGGGAGTGAAGAAAATGAACGCAGAGCCACGGCTCACCTGATGAGGATGTCATTCTTCAGCTCCAGCTGCGAGTTGCTGTGTGGGACTCAGGTTCTGTACACTTGGGGCTGGGAGTTGGGAGGACAGAGCAACATTGAAGGATAATATTTTGTGGAATTTGCACAACAGGCAGAAATTCCCCAGAGAGCTTCTGTTTCTAGACTCGTTATGATGGAAGCGACTTCTTTTACAAAACACATTGGTTTTTCCAAGCTCTCTATTGGGGTGCTCACTGGGGGCAGATGACAGTGGTGGAGGAGCCTGGGACTGGAATCAGAACGCCAGGGTTCCCACTCTGGTTTAGCAGCAGCAACCTCCATGCATGACCGTCTCCTCGTGTGTAAAATGAGCAACTGGACAGGGTCAGGGGTGACCAAGTGGCAACTTGTAGCTGAATTGAGGTTGTCCTATTTGGTGTTGACAGCTTCTTAATTAATTGATAACTTTTACAAACTGGAGATATAGCATTAAAATGCAGATTTCAGGTTTCTTTTTGAAAAATCAGACAACGTAACCACATTAAGCCCCATTTCCCACATGGCTACTCTCAGCTGGAACTGAATGGTGAACAGATGTGTCATTGCTCTGCGTTCATTTTCTCATTCCCTGCCCACTTGACTCGTTGACATTACCCTCCTGGCCTTTGCCAGCATCTGAGTTGGTGGCCTCTGGATTAAATAAACTCTAAGGACAATTCAAATATTTAATATGTTATAATTATATGAATCATAATATGTCATCATTAAAAGAAGAAAATATGCATGCACACGCACGCACACACACGAGGCCAGCCACTGAGAATAAGACTAAACCATGATTAGACTTCAAACAGTCACTGAAACATGTAACATTTGAACAGGACATGCAAGGGCGGGGGGGGTGAGGGTGAACCTGTGCTACATGTTGACTGAGCAGCCAGTATTTTCCTTCTTGGACACTTTTGGGTCCTAGAGACCCTCCAGCCCTAGACCATGACTGCTTCCCCTTTTCCTGCCCCATCTGCCCTTCCTTGCTCCTGTCTGCTCATTAATTTGGCCTTATTTCCCTTGGTCTCCAGACTGCTTTCTGGACATAGTGGTCAGCTTCGACATTTCCACGCACCTGATGGGACAGCCATTATTCCATGGCCACCCCCAGCTGGAATCATACCTCCCAGGCATCTTAGAGGACATTACCTCCCTCAGGGGTGTGAGCTGTGGGGCAGGCACAGAGGTACAGGTGAGCATGGCCTTTAAGGTGAACAGTGACCAGAATTTCCCTGCCAAGTTCCAAATCTACCAGGAAACAATATTTGACAGCCTACTGCAAGTCACCGTCAACGGGCCAACTCACCTGAATGCACAGTTCGTGCAGTCCATGTGGGACACATTTAAGGATACGTCTGCATCCCGAGGACAGGTATCTGTGTCACATTCTAGCTCCCATCTCCATGCTCTTGTATTGGTTTCTCCCTCCCAGTTATATGTTTTGTTCTCATGTCATCCCATTCTATGCTTTCCTCTTTCTCTAGGTATTACTCATCTTTTCAGATGGTCTTGGGGGTGAAAGCAAAATAATGCTTGAAGATACATCGGACAGGCTCAGAGAAGCAGGTAAAGTTGAAATTGAAAAAGTAAATGATGAAGCATGGAATCTGCTGAACAAATCTGTACCTACTAGGGAGCTCTGGAACTTGGGATTTGCCTGGCCACTTGAAGCAACTGCTGCTGGTGTCCTGCCCAGACCCCCTTGACCAGCTGCCCACTTATCCCCCAAATGCTGCAAAAGCTACAGCCAAGTTCTTATACCTGTGACCTTCTATAGATGTGTGCCCTTGACTGAACCCAACAGTGACCTGATGCTTGGAGTGGGGGTTGGGGTCACACATCCCACCTGAGGGATGGGAGCAGGGGTAATTATTGCAGAGGGATACAGAAACCCAACACTCTTGGTTGAAGTGGGTCAACTCTGGTATAGCCTACACTCCAGGGACCCTCAGGAATCAGACCCAGGTGAGGACTTTACTGAGACACAACCTTGCTCACAACCTCCCCTTCCCTTTCCTGCTTCTCTCTCTCCCTCTGTAAGCCACTTACACACAGATTCCTGTCTCAGATTCTGCTTCTAGGGAACCTAAGACACTTCCTACTGTGTCTGATTTTCCATGGGAAAGATTGCAACATGGATTTTGAAAAGCACTTCTCACTATACCTCCCCTGTCCATGTCATAGTTTCAGAAGAACTGGGAGCTAAGTGCAGAAGCAGAGCGTCACATACAGAGACAGGAGGCAGGCAGGTGATCGGCAGGTGGGGCATGTTATTGGAGGCTTCCTTGGTGTAGCCCTCGTGGCTTCCAGTGTTCAGCTTCCATGGAAACTCCCAGGGGCCATAAATGTCCTGGTTGTGTCACCTTCCCTTCTTGAATCCCTACTATACATTCCCACTGTTCTTAGAATATCAAATTCCTTCGTATGGCCTGTGAGGCTTTACAGGATCTGGCCCCACTTCCCACTCAGCTTTACCTGGCTGCTCACACTCTGTTCCAGCATCAGAACTTTTTCCATTCTCCCTCCAATGTCCTTTTCAACCACACCCTCCCCGCCCTTGCATGTCCTCTTTCCTTCTGCCTGGGACTCTCCCCACTCTCAGCTTCCCCCAAGTTCTTCTCACCACCTCCCTTCTCTGGTTCTTTCCCTTGACCAACTTCCATTCATCCTTTAGGATCAGTCTAGACATCACTTCTTCGCAGAAACCTTGTGTGACCTTCCAAAACCGAGTTAGGAGCTTCTTCTTCAGACTTTTGTAGCATCCTGACCCTCTCCCTGGTACAATGATTAATACATAATAGGCTCCTAATAAGCAAATATTTGTTTAATGAAAGGAGAGAAAGAGTAAATGGACCAGCGAATGAATTAATGAGTGAGTGAATGGGTGAATAAGTGAATAAATGAATTCCTGGGTATGGCCAGGAGTTCAGGTGAAACTGGAATCACCCTGGGCATTCCTCAAGCTTCCAGGGCCCACCCAGCTGCCAGGGTGTTTGGCAGTGGAGATGATTTGAGAGCTATTTGCATTCTATTTACAAATTTTGTAATTAATTTACAAATTAATGTAATTAATTTACATTCAGAAAAATTCATAGTTCATAGCAGCACTACTTACAATAGCCAAGACATGGAAACAACCTGAATGTCCATCAACAGATGAATGGATAAAGAAGATGTGGTATATATATACAATGGGATACTTGTCAGCCATTAAAAAAGAATGAAATAATGCCATTTGCAGCAACATGGATGGACCTAGAGATGATCATACTAAGTGAAGGAGATCAGACACAGAAAGACAAATATCATATGATATCACTTTTATGCGGAATCTAAAAAAATGATACAAATGAACTTATTTACAAAACACAAATAGACTCACAGACATAGAAAACAAACTTATGGTTATCAAAGGGGATAGTGGTGGGGGAGATAAATTAGGAGTTTGAGATTAACACATACATACAACTATGTATAAAATAGATAAGCAACAAGGACTTACTATATAGCACAGATATTGATCTATATTCAATATCTTATAATAACCTATAATGCAAAATATATATATATTTAGATATATATATATATATATATATAACTGAATGACTCTGCTGTGCCCCTGAAACTAACACAACATTGTAAACTAACTATACTTCAATTTTTAAAAATGGTGTAAAAAATAAATTTAAAAAAGTTACTAACTACCATGTTAAAAAAAAATTCAGAAGAACTGTGAAGATGAACAATATCCTTTCTTAAAAAATTGCTTTCAAATGCCCCAGAACTGCATTAAGATTGGTGGTGAGGAATTAAACACAGTTTTCTGCTAGTGTTTTTCTGTAAGGTTTCTTAGATTTCATGCTGAGGTCAGGAACCATTGCCTCATGTGTGTACTGAAGATGCAGACAAAGAGCTGTTGGGTTCTTCAGTATCAAGAACACTCCTTTCTCTTATTTTTCACCCCTTTTTGATTCTTTCATTCATGTTCACTGAATGGAAATAAGATGGGCTTTCCTTCTTTTTTGTGTACAATTCCTGGGGTTTTATATCTGTTGTATTTACTGCCTAGGACTTGACGCTTTGCTGGTGGTTTCCCTAAACTCAACCTCTCATGATGAGTTTTCCAGCTTTGAATTTGGAAAAGGATTTGATTACAGGATTCACCTGACCATTGGAATGAAAGAATTGGGCAATATGTTATCACAGTATCTGGTGAGTTGCTGAAGAAAAAAAAAACATTATTTAAAATGCCCTGGGAACATTGGAATTGGAATTGGAATCCTGATGAGTATTCCCAAAGATTCCCTTGTTTGCCCTAAATTCAGTTACATGGTCTTTAGCATATGAAAAATTGTGAAAGCCCAGAGCATTGTTTTTTGCTTCGCCATGCCCTTTCATCCGTTGCCATCTCGCCAAATGAATGCAGAGGAAGCTAAAATCCAACCAACCCCTAATCAAATCAAAAGCCCCCAACAGTTTATGCTGCAGAAATCCCAGGAAACAAAAGCTGTCAACTAGGAACCAACCAGTCTTGTGCACACTTGGCCTGTGGCCATCTGTGTAGTGAGTGCCTCTTCTATAAATAGAGGTCATTTCCTTGGAAAAGGTATGTCGCCAGTGCAGTTGCTGATCTGGTGCTCTCTCTTCAGGGTTAAGTCAAAAAGCACCTCTTATTCTCCGCAGCCCCTCACCCAATGAGAGAGGACAGGCTGTAGGTGGTGAATTATGATTTATGTCAATTCAGTTCTTATGTGATGAAGTTCCTCACCATAGTTGCTCATTCATTTTTTCTTTTTCCCAGGGAAACATTGCAGAGAGGACTTGCTGCTGTACGTTTTGCAAATGTTCACAGACTCCAGGACCTCAAGGGATCCGAGGACCACAAGCCTTAAAGGTGCCATTGAGTTGTGACATGCTTTTACCTAATGGGCTTTGATTTGGTGTAGGTGGAGCTGAGATTGAGTAGTTGGGTTTGCAACCTTTGCTTGATACTGATGCAATTACTTTGGGCCATTTGTGTGACTTCTATGGTGTAGGAGCCAGATCAGAAGGGCTCACATTTTTAAAAATATATATTTTATTGAAGTATTAATTTACAATGTTGTGTTAATTTCTACAATACAGCAAAGTGATTCAGTTATACATATATACACATTCTTTTTCATATTCTTTTCTATTATGGTTTTTCATGGGATATTGAATATAGTTCCCTGTACTATATAGTAGGACCTTGTTGTTTCTCTATGTTATACAGAGTAGTGTGTATAAGCTAATCCCAAACTCTTAATTTATCCTTTACCTCCTTCCCCTTTGGTAGTATAAGTTTGTTTTCTATGTCTGAGTCTATTTCTGTTTTGTAAATAAGTTCATATGTATCATTTCTTAGATTCCATGTATAAGTGATATCATATGATATTTGTCTTTGAGTTACTTCACTTGGTCTGATAATCTCTGGGTCCGTCCATGTTGCTGCAAATGGCATTATTTCATTTTTTATGGCTGAGTAATATTCCATTGTATAAATATACCACATATTCTTTATCCACTCCTCTGTTGATGGGCTTTTAGTTTGCTTCCATGTCTTGGCTATTGTGAATAGTACTGCTGTGAACATTGGGGTGCATGTGTCTTTTTGAATTAGAGTATTTTCAAATATATGCCCAGGAGTGGGATTGCAGAATCATATGGCAACTCTATTTTTAGTTTTTTGAGGAACCTCCATGCAGTTTTCCATAGTGGCTGCACCAATTTACATTCCCATCAACCGTGTAGGAGGGTTCAGAAGGCTCACTTTTGATGCTACTATTAAGAATGATTCCCAGAAAATATTTGCAAATGAAGCAACTGACAAAGGATTAATCTCCAAAATTTACAAGCAGCTCATGCAGCACAATAACAAAAAAACAAACAACCCAATCCAAAAATGGGCAGAAGACCTAAATAGACATTTCTCCAAAGAAGATATACAGACTGCCAACAAACACATGAAAGAATGCTCAACATCATTAATCATTAGAGAAATGCAAATCAAAACTACCATGAGATATCATCTCACACCAGTCAGAATGGCCATCATCAAAAAATCTAGAAACAATAAATGCTGATGAGGGTGTGGAGAAAAGGGAACACTCTTGAACTGCTGGTGGGAATGTGAATTGGTTCAGCCACTATGGAGAACAGTATGGAGGTTCCTTAAAAAACTACAAATAGAACTACCATATGACCCAGCAATTCCACTACTGGGCATATACCCTGAGAAAACCAAAATTCAAAAAGAGTCATGTATCAAAATATTCATTGCAGCTCTATTTACAATAGCCTGGAGATGGAAACAACCTAAGTGCCCATCAACAGATGAATGGATAAAGAAGATGTGGCACATATATACAATGGATATTACTCAGCCATAAAAAGAAACGAAATTGAGCTATTTGTAATGAGGTGGATAGACCTAGAGTCTGTCATACAGAGTGAAGTAAGTCAGAAAGAGATAGACTAATGCCGTATGCTAACACATATATATGGAATTTAAGAAAAAAAATTTCATGAAGAACCTAGGGGTAAGACAGGAATAAAGACACAGACCTACTGGAGAACGGACTTGAGGATATGGGGAGGGGGAAGGGTGAGCTGTGACGGGGCGAGAGAGAGTCATGGACATATACACACTAACAAACGTAAGGTAGATAGCTAGTGGGAAGCATCCGCATGGCACAGGGATATCGGCTCGGTGCTTTGTGACCAGCTGGAGGGGTGGGATAGGGAGGGTGGGAGGGAGGGAGACGCAAGAGGGAAGAGATATGGGGACATATGTACATGTATAACTGATTCACTTTGTTATAAAGCAGAAACTAACACACCATTGTAAAGCAATTTTACCCCAATAAAGATGTTAAAAAAAAGTATAACTATGAATCATAGAATTTAAATTTAGTATGAAAAGAGAAGAATAGCAAATTATATTGAAGCTACATGGAATTATGTTTATAGACAGCAGGAAGAGAAAATAAAAATGTAAATATTGCTTGATAGAAAAAAATAAAGGAATACAGAACATAAGAAAATACAATTAATACAAGAGCAATGGAGAAGGAACAAGTGAAGTTAAAATAAAACTTATTTTTCTTATTCTTTAATTAATCTAACAGACAAGAGCTTGTTCAAAGTAGTAACTACAACAATGTATTTGATTATTATACCTTGTATATATTTGAAGTGAATGACACAATGATACAAGGGACAGGACGGAGGAGTTAGGGATACTTGGTTATTATAAGGTACTTGCAATTCCCATGAAATGATATAGTGTCATTTGAAAGAGGACTTGAATTAGTTGTAAACACATATGGCAAATTTTAGGACAACCACTAAAAAAGTTTTAAAAAAAGAATAATTGATACACTAAGAAAGGAGAAAAAAATGGAATCATATAAAATTCTCAATTAATTAAAACATCAAAAGGCAGAAAAGTAGAAGGCACAAATACACACAAAGAACAAGAGCAACAATAGAAAATTAACAAATATAGGTAGGTATAGTAACCCAATTATATCAATAATCACTTTAAATGCCACTGGTCTAATTACTTCCATTAAAAGACAGAGATTATTAGAATGTATCAACAAAGACCCTATTGTATGTAGTTGAAGCCCACTTTAAATATAAAGACACATATAGATTAAATGAAAATGATGGAAAAATATATACCATGCTAAAAGATATAACCATGCTAATAAAAGAAAGCTTTGGTAGCTATATTAATTTCGAAGAGCTGACTTCTGGGCAAGGAAGATTATCAGTGATAAAGAGGATGTTACATAATGATAAAGGGGTCAATTCTCCAAGAAGACATAGCATACATAATGATAAAGGGGTCAATTCTCCAAGAAGACATAGCAATCCTTAGAGTATATGCACCTAACAACAAGGCACCAAAATAAGTGAGGTGAAAACCAAAAGAACTCTAAGGATAAATAGATTAATCCACTATTTTAGTAGGAAACTTCAACATTCCTCTCTCAGAATTGGGCAGATCTAGCAGACAGAAAATCAGTAAGGAAATAGTTGAACTCAACATCACCATCAGTCAGCTGGATAATTGACATCTATAAAATATTTCATTCAACAATTGCAAAATACACATTCTTCTCAAGCTCACATGGAATATTCACTGAGATAGACCACATTCTGGGCCATAAAACGCACTTCAACAAATTTAAAGAAATACAGCTTTTACAATGTTTGCTCTTAGGTCACAATGGAATTAAACTAGAAATCAGTAATGATAGTTAGAAAATCCCAAAATACTTGGAGATTAAACAACACACTTTTAAATAACACATGGGTCAAAGAAGAAATTTTTTAAAAACTTCAAAAATATTTTGAACTAAATAAAAATGGAAAAACAACTTATCAGAATTTGTGGGATGCAGCAAAAGTAGTATCTTAAAGGGAAATCCAAAGCACTGAATGCATATGTCAGAAAAGAAGAGAGATCTAAAATCAATCATATAAGCATCATATAAACATCTGCCTTAAGAAAAGTTTTAAAAAGAAGAGATAATTAAATCTAAATTAAGGAGAAGAAAAGAAAAAAAATTTTTTTGATGCAACAGAAATCAATGACATTGAAAACAGGAAATCAAGAGAGGAAAAAACACTCAACAAAACTGAAACCTGATTCTTTGAAAAGATCAATAATTCTATAAGCCTCTAGCCAGGCTAACTAAGAAAAAAGGACACAAATTACTAATATCAGAAGTTGAAGAGGGGACATCACTTAGATGACATGGACACTGAAAGGACATTAAATTCCATGATTGCAAGGAAGAGCATGAACAACTCTATGTTCACAAATTTATAACCTAGATGAAACGGATCAGTTTTTGAAAGACACAATCTGCCAAAACACACAAGAAGAAACAGACAATCAGAATAGGTCTATATCTATTAAAGAAATTGAATCAACAATTAATAACCTTCCAAAACAGAATGAGCCGGGCCCAGACAGCTTCACTGGTAAATTCCACCAAACACTTATATCAATTCTTTACAATTTCTTCCAGAAGATAGAAGCAGAAGGAATATTTCCTAAATCATTCTATGAAGCCAGAATTACCCTAATACCAAAGCCAGATAGAGACATTACAAAACACAACAACAACAACAAAACAAAACTACAAATCAGTATCTTTTATGAATATAGATGCAAAAATGTTAGCAAGTCAAAGCCAACAATGTATAAAAAGAATTATACACCATGACAAAGTGGGATTTATTCCAGGAATGCAAGGCTGGTTCAACATTCAAAAATCATTTATATAATTCATCACATCAACAGGATAAAGAAGAAAAGTTACATGATCATATCAATAGAGGCAGAAAAAGCATCTGACAATGTAATACCTTATTCATGACTAAAACAAAACAAAACAAAAAAACTTCTCAGCAAACTAGGAATAGAGGGAAATTCCTTAACATGGGCATACAGATTGGGAAGGAAGAAACATAACTGTCTTTGTTTGCAGGTGATGTGGTTATTTATGTAGAAAATCCTAAAGAATCCACAAAAACCTCCTAGAACTATGGCAGCAGTATAAAAAGTTAGTACACAAAATCCAATTACTTTCCTATATTCCAGCAATGAATAACTGAAATTTGAAATTATAAACACAATACCATTTGTATTAGCACCTCCAAAACTTAAATACTTACGTATAAATTTAACAAAATATATACAAGATCTATATGAGGAAAACTATAAAACTCTGAGGAATGAATTAAATGAAGAATTAAATAAATGGAGAGGTATTACATGTTTATGGATAGGAAGACTTAAGATTGTCAAGATATCAGTTTTTCCCAACTTGATCTATAGATTCAATGCAACCCCGATCAAAATCCCAGCAAGTTACTTTGCGGATATCGACAAACTGA